CCTGAGCTCCTCTCTAGATTTATTAATCATGTCTTGCACTAGGGGCACAATTTCTCCTGTTATCTGAGAAATTATTTCTGATTTCATTTTTTCCATATCCCCTTTTGTTGCCAGTTCCGTGGGTCCAGGTGGTTGAGTATCAGAGTGTTCCATCTCATTTCCCTTTGGGGTTGCTGTAGGTGATCTGGAAGTCTGGCTTTGAGACTTATTAATGTGTTTTCTGATTTCCACTGGGGCGGGAGTCTATTAGTGCCTGCACGGATTACCTCCTCTGAGCTGGGAGAGGTGAGGCAGGGGCCAGGAGCAGAGGTGGGGATGGTGACCCAAAAGCCCTTTCCTGTGGGCTGGGAGCAGCGGGAGGGATGGTGGCCCGGAAGCCCCTTCCTCTGGGCCAGGAGCAGCAGGACAGAAGGTGCCCCGAAAGCCCTTTTCTCCGGGCTGAGAGCAGCATGAGGGATGGTGACCGGGAAGCCCCTTCCTCTGGACCAGGAGCAGTGAGATGGTGGCTCGGAAGCCCCTAGCTGTGGGCCGGGAGCAGCGGGACTCAGTACCGTGGTCTGGTGGTCTGGTGTCCTCTGCGTCTTTGTAGTTTGGAAGAAGGTGTGTACAGAGGATCGGGGCTTTGTCCAGTGGATTGTTGCCGGGGCGCGGGCTGATTTGTCGTGTTCTGTGCAACTCTGGTCCTCAGTATGGCGTGGGCAGGCCTGCTTGCCTGCAGTGGGGTGATTCGGCGTGTTCCATGCGACTAGGATCTCGGTAGGGGGTGCACAGACCTGCTTGTCTCCAGCGAGGTGATTCGGCATCTTCCGCGCAACTCGGGACCTCGGTAGGGCGTGCACAGACCTCGACATTTCATTTCTTGTGGCCAAGTCGTATTTCATTGTATATATATGCACCATATTTTCTTTATTCATTTATTGATGGACATTAGGTTTATTCTGTATTTTGACTTTTGTGAATTGTGCTGCAGTAAACATGGGAGTGCTGGTACCTTTTTCATGTGTGTGCCAGTAACTTTTTGATGCAGTGATTTTATTTCCTTTGTATATACTCAGTAGTGGAATTACTAGAGCATAAGGTAGTCCTTTTTTAGTTTTTAAAGGAACTGCCATACTGTTTTGCATAATGGCTTTACTAATTTACATTCCCACCAACAGCCTTTCTCCAGCATTTATTTTTGTCTTGATAATACCCATAAGATTAGAGTGAGTTGATATCTCATTATTTTGATTTCCATTTCCCTCTTGACTAGTGATGTTGAACATTTTTTTCACTTTGTGGCCATTTGTAAAACTTCTTTTGAGAAGTGTATACAGAGGTCAAGTCTGCATTTTTTTTCTTTTTTGGTACCGGGGATTGAACTTGGGACCTTATACTTGTGAGGCATGTGATGGCCCCACGGAGCTAAATCCCTGGCCCAAATCTGTATTTGTAATTAGACCATTATTATTGTTTATTTTTTGCTGTAGAGTGATTTTGAGTTCCTTATGTATTCTAGATATTAATCCCCTGTGAGATGAATAGTTTGCAAATATTTCCTCTCATTCTATAGGTTGTCTCTTCACTATATTGATTGTTTTCTTTGTACAGAAAGTTTAAAATTTGATGTAATCCTGTTTGCTAATTTTCTTTTGTTGGCTGTGCTTTTGGGGCCATATCCAAAAGAATCTTTGCTTAGTCCAGTATCTGAACTTTTTCCTTTATGTTTTCTTTCAATAGTTTTATATCTTTGGTCTTAATTTTAAGTCTTTGATCCATTTTTAATTGATTTTTGTATATGGTGAAAGCTGAAAGGCTAGTTTCATTCTTTTGCATAAGGATATCCAGTTTCCCCTGCACTATTTATTGATGATACTATCACTTCTCCTGGTACTATGTTGAAAATCAGTTGGCTGTGTATATGTAGATGAAGTTCTGAGTTCTTTATCCTGTAGCATTGGTCATATATTTGTTTTTATGCCTGTACTATGTTATTTTGGCTATTATAACTTTGTAGTATGTTTTGAAGTCAGATATTGTGATGCCAGTAACTTTTCCTTTTTGGTCAGGATTGCTTTGGCTATTTGGATTCTTTTGTGGTTTCATATTATTTTTATGATTATTTTTCCTATTTCTGTGTAGAATGTCATTGTTAGTTTAATGGGAATTGCTTTGAATCTGAAGATCACTTTGGGGATTATGGACATTTGAACATTGGTAATTCTTTCAAGTCAGGTATATGGGATGTCTTTTCATTTTTTTATGTCTTAATTTCTTTCATCAGTGTTTCATAATTTTCATTGTAGAGGTTGTTCACTTTCTTGGTTAAGTTTCTTTCTAGATAATATTTTATTTTTGAGGTAGCTATTGTGAGCGAGATTACCCTCTTGATTTCTTTTTCAGTAAGTTTATTAGTATATAAACATTTTACTGATATGAAAAATCTTGCTGATTTATTTTCATATTGCTACTTCACGGAATTTTTTTTATCAGTTCTGACGGTTTTTTTGAGGAATCTTTTTCTTGATTCCTCAAAGGGAAACACAACTATGTCTTTATGTTTGGTTTAGAGTAGCACCATATATGTTTATTCAACCTTAACATAACTTACAGCTAAGATTTCTTTAGTTGGTCCATGTTTTCCTCATAATGTACATTCTGTATGACAAATTTCAATTATTTGAACTTTATCTGAACTTTTTACTTCTCATTTTCTGTCATTTTGCCTTTTAAATGATATAGTTTATCAGTTAGTTATGACCTAGTTGTAAATTGTTGCATGGAAAAGTCAGTTTAAAATCAGTGACTTAGTTAGAATTTATTATGGTTTTTGCATATGTAAAGGATAATGCAGAAAATCAGGTAGTAGACAACCTTACTGATTTTGGTTTCAATGGTTTTTAATCTGTATGTGTGGGGTTTTTTTTGGTAGGCATTTGATCTTACATTGTAGATAAAGTTTGGCAGAATTTAACTGATAACATGGATTTTGATCTATAGTTGTTAAAAAAATGAAAAGATGTCAGAATGAAATATAAGACAGGAAGTAATCTGATTTAACAGCCAACATTGAACACCTGAAAATTATCCATGAAGTTTACTTTGTAATTGTGACATCTGTTTTCTTTTTAAAAAAGATATTAGCAAACTGACTGAAGATAAGAAAGAGGGCCTCAGGCAACTTGCAGTGACATTTCAGCATTTCATGAGAGAGGAAATACAGGATGCATCTAAGCTGCCACCTTCTTTTGACATTTTTGAAGGCTTTGCAAAAGTAAGTGTTAAATTTCATCTTTTTTCTAATGCCATAAATCAAGCCCTTCCTCTGTTTTGTGTTGTTGGTTACAGAAAGATAAAACATGGGAAATTCAATACCTTTACTGCCTATGTTGTTCCCCTACCTAAATGAGTACACAGTGAGAGAATGTATATATACTGAAAGCGTATTGCTTCTTCTGTTTTATCTGTATTTGTATTTTGGCCTAAAGTATGTTTATTGTCAATCCTCAAAGCATGTGCTTTCTTTCCTCAAAAGAAAACAACACATCCCTTTATTTCTTGCTAAAGGTTTCAAGTTTATCATTGTATTCATTGAGTTTTATGATGATTTTCTTAGCATAGGGCCTGCCTTTTAAGTGAAAAAATTATTGGAATCCATTTCTGATTATGTAAGTTATAAATATGAAAGGATATCCATTTCTGATTTTAAATTGATTGCCTAAAAAATCTGTTTAGATATTTTAGATCATTACAATTCAAGGTTAGGAATAGAAAACAAGTTTTATTTAGTATTTCATCTCTGGTTTATTGGAAATAGTTACATGAAGTGTTCTTTTTGAAAATAATTCTAAAGCTTTGCCTCGGTCCTGTGAGGCAGAGTGTGGTGATTGATTCTTGATATTCTACCCTGGCATACTGATGGCATAGCACATATACTCCACTCACTACATGGATCTATTGTCTGTATTTTCTCATATTATGTGTTTGGGTTTAAAACTGATCACATTTTATAACAAGATAATTTTGCCTCTTATTTGACAACTTATAAGTGCACATTTGATGTCACATTTCCTCACATTTTAAGGTATATTTCTAAAGCTGTCTTTTGTAAGAATTTCAGTTATGGTTAGTATGATGGCTAGAACTTTATTCTAGTATTTCTCAAATGTATTTTTATTCTTTAAAGTATATTCTTATGATTTTTCTGAAAAATATCATAATAGCATTATAATTCTTGTTTGTCTGCAATTTAAAATTGATTTTAAGATACAGTGGCTACTTATAATGCATCTAAGAAATTTCTCATGTGTATTTCATATACTTCTAAAAATTATACTGTATAGTACCACATGTACAATGCACATGGGTTCTTCTGATGTTAAATACTGTAAGAACACCCACTGAAGGATTAAAAACATACATTTAGTATTAGATCTGTAGCTATTCTGTGACATTATTTTGGTTGTTGGAAAATGTTCAAGGGCTAATTATGAGATCAAGTGTGATTAATGTTCATGAAAAATATCTTAAAATATTTTTTGTTATTAAATACTAAATGTTGTATTTCTCCTGTTTAATAAACAATTTTAATCTCATTTATCTTACAATGAAATTCCATGTTGTATAGGAGTAACGTTCTGTCACTGTGATGAAGTGGATAATTTTTGAAATAGATTTAATAATAGGTACTCTCTTCCCCACACACATCTATTTGTCTTTGGTACAAGAGTAAAACATATATGTCTTTTTGAGATTTTGGAGAGCAGTCTGACTCAGATGTGTCATTTCTGCCTTAAAATACAGTTTAGTAATCAGAGGAAAACACCATTAACCTATGTCTGCTTGTGCTTCTTTGTGATTATTTTGTCACTTGTCTTTCTGCTCTTAAATTTTAAAACAGCGTAATCATTTGTCCCTATTTCCTCCTGTAGGATTAACTTGAGAGAAGGAATTGGTACCACAGAGTGTACTCCTTGCAGGAGCTGCTGCTTTATGTACAAACTGTTAGTCCAGGGAAGTTCTGTGCTGATCTGCCTTCCTAAGGCTAAGGAACTAACTTTTGTCTTTACCCCATTAAGGAGGCTGGCTTTTCCTCACCTAAATAAACAGTATTCTGTTTTCTATTTTGCTCTTGGTCCCTCTCTGTCTTAGTTACTTTTCTTGTTGCTGAGACAAAATACCTAACGCTCAAAGTTAAAAGGGGAAAGGTTTATTTAGCTCACAGTTTGTAGAGGTTTCAGTCCACAATCACCTGGCTCCAAGGCAGAGTGGCACATGGGAGAGGGGCAACAGTTTATGGCAGATCAAAGGTAACAAAGCAACAAAGGAATCTTAACAGCATCTTTCTGCCCCTTTTATCTTATCCCAACTACTAGGATTAGGGCAGTGCCAAACCAATCAGTGTATTGCTTTAGTAATCACACTTCTTTAATCTCACCATCACACACTGTAGATTCAGCCACCCCTGAAAAAGCCCTATGAGGCTTTGGGGGAACATCTAGACACAAACCATAACATTCTCCTTTATTTGTTTTTTTGGTTTTTTTTTGGTACCGAGGATCAAACTTGGGACCTTGCACTTGCAAGGCAGGCGCCGGAACCACTGAGCTAAATCCCTGGCCCCTCCTTTATTTGTTTTTTAACTTAAATTCATGTAGGTTCTTTGAAGGTATTAGAAATGCTAAGCTTTTGTTTTAGCCCATTTCATTGTCAATGAAGGTATATGGAATTCTGAGAGCTTTTTAAAATTTGTTCATATCTTAATTCTTTTAAACTTTTTGATTATGGACACTTTCAAACAAACACAACAGTAGATAGACTAGAATTATGAACCCTCATGTTTCAGTCACCTGGTTTTAATAATTTTCAAACTTGTCATATATCTGATATTTTTAATACTTAGATTTTATATAGATGTTCCTTTCCTTTATTTCAATTTCCCAACATTCATTAGAATTAGTCCTTTGTTTTGAAAGCCTCTTGGTCCCCTGAGAAATGTTCTAGTGAATTTTAGTACATTCAGTGGACTTCCTTTTTTCTTTCTTTTCCTCCCTTCCTTCTTTCCTTCTCTTTCTCTCTCCCTTTCTTCCTTCTTTCCCTCTCGTCCTCTCACTTTTTTTTTCTTTCTGGATACTTTGTACGAAGTACTCTTGGTACAGGATTATAGGAAAATGTGGGTAATTCTCAAACTGAAAGTTATCTGTCATGGCAAAACCCCCGCAGATTTTATTTGAAGATAATGTATGTATATCAGCCTTGTACTTGACCTGAAAGGAAAGGGCCAGTGGAGAATGAAAAGTTCTTAATCCTGAGAGCAGGTTTCATTGTTTGATGTACTGATGGCTTCTTCTAATGAAAACTTGTGATTCATGCTCTGAAAGTTGGCAGTTTATATTTTGAGAACTCCTGAGCTTCAAGTGGAAAAATACTGTATTTCTTCTGGTTCTCAGTCCGGTGTGCTTTTGCTGCTAAAGTTTGGAAAACTTTTCTGCCGCACTTTCGACCTTACTCTGTAGTCATTTTGTGGGTCATATTTTGAAATGTTCTTTTTTGCTCCTTTTTTTTTCCTTTTGTACTGGAGATTGAACCTAGGGCCTCATGCATGCTAGGCAAGTTCTCTGCCACTGAGCTCTCTCCCCATCCCCCTTCTGCCCACTTATTAGTGTAAGTCTCAGACTTTTTTTCCACACCTCTACATAAACACACACATGAATAGCAGCTGGGTTTCCATAGTAGGAGTTCACTGTAACTATATCCTGTCCTCTCATGAATTTGTTGTTTGGTTGGAAAAACTATATAACATGAGATGTAGAAAAGAGAAATTTTCCTAGTCATGAATATCAGGGAGGATGTCACACTAGAAGTAGAAATTGACTTGAATTTCAGAAGAGCAGATGGTGTTGGGAACCACTTATATACATGGTCTAAAAATGCTGGTAGGGAGTGGGTAGTGCTGTCCAACTCTGAGATGAGCAAAAAAGAAGTAGTAACTTTGGAGTACAGGTTTCAGTTATATTTAGTATTCCCAATTAGAATTTGCATGAAAACTTGTTACTTAACATGTTTTATTAGGTGGCAGTAGGAAATTTGTGTGGGCAATGGTACCTCCAGAATTTCTATAGAGGAGGACCTTTCAAGTGCTTATCTGGTGGATGGATAGAGAGGTTGAAGCAAGTTACTTCCAGCTTTATTTACATTAAACTTAGATTGTGTGTTTCTTAGAAGTTTATGGTTAAATGGAATAAAAGTATGAGGTGTGAGGAATGCAAGGTGGTGATTGCAACTGACAGCAAAGAAGGTCTCCAAAAGGTAGGAGGTGCACTGGAGATGTTTGTTAGTGAGAACGTAGGCTATGTGATTATTTAGATGCTCATGATAAATAAAGGTCATGTTCATCTGCTGGCTCTGTCCTGCAGTTGTTTAGAAAGAGCAGGTGTATGTCTCCATCCTTATAAATGCTTCCTCCTTCCCACTCCTTGATTTTGCTCCTTGATTTCTATCCTCAGACACATTTTCTGGTTAAGTTTTGAAGTGGGTTTGTCTTGAAGTGACAGCTGCTTTTACTGATTGGGTCCTAAACATTTGCTTCAGGTACAGAAAATATGCACACTACTATTCGTAATTACTAACACTAAGGTCTGAAAATTACAGTCAGTGAGAGGACAGGTTTAAGTGGGAGGCTGGTAGTATAATGGTGAAATTTCTTTCCCCAGACAAGAAAATGAAATTCAGTCTCAATTTACTTATTTGTAAATGGGAACAATAATAGGATCCATTTCATAGTTAAAAGTGAGGATTAACTACAAGGTGCTTAGTAGAATGTTTGACACATATTATTAATTTTTACTACCGCTTCCCCCACTTCTTTGCCTTACTGGTACTGGAATGTAGAACGCCAGTGTTTTATGTCTCCCTGTGTTGTCATATAGCCAGGAGCACAGCCTGTGACTGATTGTAAACTAGATTTTCACATGGTTGCTCACAGTTGTGCCCAGTGCTTGTGTCTCTTGAGATGCTGAGAATTACCTGTCTTGATGAGAAGAAATTTTACATACAGGAAATAGTTTCTCATAGTAAGCTCTTTTGTTTTCAGCCCATAGCTATTGTGGATAAAAATTTACTATTTCCTGCATCCATGGCAACTCCATGATTTCAGAGTAGTTTCTTGGGATTTCATGTAGGAAATGTAAAAATAGGTTTCTTGTGATGAATGAAATCTTTTTCACACATGCATGTACCTTAAGAGGATAGGATTAAATTATAAGTATTTTCATT